TTATAGATAAAAGAACAGCAAAGTCTTTAATTAGCAATAAAATTTTAATAAAAACAAAAATCTACTTTGTATTACTTGTTTTTATAATGTAAACTAAACAGCAAATCATTTTAAGTCACCTTAATGCTTAATAAAAAGATGGATTTGTATACCTTCCGTGACCATGTATAGGGTCTATGAGGGGCTCTGTTGGGTCCTGGATTTCATTTCTAATATTCTCTATGCCCTGCAAAAAAAGAGCAAAAGAGAACATTTGTTCAAGATTTAGAAATCTTTGGAACCTCTACATTACATTTTTTGTTTGAACATTACATATTTTTTAATAAGTATCTAATATTCGATTTGTACCTAATTAACTTTGTTTTTTAAAATCCCCTTAATCTCAGAAATCATATCACCGCCATCAGTATTAGAAATTACCATTTTTCTCTCTCTGCTACATTTTTCACCTTACCTTAGTGAGGATGACAGAGTAAAGGAAAAGCAAAACCCCACAGCACCCCCTCCAGGACTGGTATAGAGACAGCACCTCTTCTCTGAGATCAGACACTGACAGGACAGTTCGCTTGCTGCAGGATAAAGGGGAGGTGGGAAAGTAAATGTACATATATATATATATGCATATATAAAAATCATAAGAAAATAAAATGAAACAACATAAAGCTAATTCCAAGGGTGTCAGGTTGTAAAATGTCACACGACATGGATTGTGTTTGCCAGTCCTTATTGTGTAAAGATAAAAAAATATGACGCAAGACAAAACAGGACAAAGAAAAATTAGACTGCAAGGGATTAGCATGCATGCTTCCCATCCTACTGCTCATTAAAAAAATACCAGTGAAGCTGTCTGTCTTATTTAGCATGCACCTCATTGCTTTGAGCAAGCTTTGCGTTTTGCTGACTGTAGTCTAAGCTGTCAGGGAGCTATGTGATGAAATTTCAATGTTTCTCACAGCAAGTTCAACCGTGCATATATTTAATTTGCTGGTGTGTCTTTAACAGACATCTTATGTGTAAGCGTTCTTTCAACAAGGTAATCAATAAAAGCAGAGAGCTGGCATATTGTAAGGAGAGTGAAATTGAAAGTTCACTTTAAAAGCCAAGACAGATAAATTGAGACCTCCTTTTTATGCTCCTCATGCTTCTGAGAAAAATGCAGCAGACTATAAAAATCTTGCACTTTAGCAATGTCAAACCTCATTGTTTGTTTTAAATCCTTCCCTCCACAATATTCATCATTTTACCAGACTATATTCAAAGAGGTATTTATGATGAGTATGATATTTGATAAAAAAAAATAATAATCTTCACTTACTGAAGTATGCTGTGAAATTGTTCAAAGCCAAGGTCCTCAGCAGCCAAAGCAGCTAGACACAAGAAAACACAATCACAGACTGATAGAGTTAGTCTGTCAAACTTCAGTAAAATGTGTTTAGTTGGGCAGCCAAAGATGCAGTCAGTGAGCGGGTGATGATACGAGACTAACTTGGCTGCTGTTCCTGTGGCGACTGACTGCTCTCTGGTCTTGGCATGTCCTGTGTTTGAGACTGTGTCTGGGTCTTAGAAAGCGTGCTACTACATGGGCTCTGTCCCTTGGCCCAGGTCACAAAACAGAACCCTGTGGAGGGGCTGGCACAGGCAGACTCAAGGATTTCACTCAGTGTTGAACACAGGGCCATCTTCTGCTCTTCCTCTAACAGAGACAAACATGAAAATATCAATTGTTTTGGTTAGACATAAGAAAAACAGTAAAACCAATACATTTTTTTGGGGGGAAGCTACCTGACATTTGTCTCCATGTGGAATTTTCTCTGTTAAAAAGAATGTTCTTTAGGAGAAAAGCCTGTAAAGAAAAACTCAATTTACAGAAACTGGAATTTTAGTAACATGTCATGTTCGCCCCTTATCTAATATTCAGTGAGCTTACCTTGTTGCCACTGAATGAACTAATATTCAGGCTGTTGTGCAATGAGAAACGTACCTGAACAGGTGCAATCACAGCACATGGTCCTCCTTCAAACTGCTTCAGAGCCGTTTGCTCATGGTCACTAAAAACAAATCCTGTAAAAAAGGGAAGCCTACATTCAATAGTGAGCCAATAATTCATCCTGTATACATATTTAAGCACACAATAAACAACATTTTGTCTGGATCTTTAGTAAAACAAGGATTGACAACAGACATATACATAAAAAATAAAAGAGGAAGATTTAAAATGTTCAACATACTTTGATATACTCTAGCCTATCTAGCCTGGCAGAAAGAGATATTCTTCCAATAAAATATCAAATGTTTGCCAATTTCTAAACAACTGAAAACATGGACATGAACTCATCGCGGTTATCACAACAAAAGCCTTACCTTGAGACCATCTTCGGAAGATCGAAGTGGAAACTCCTCCCCCCGATGGTTTTCCCCAAACCAAATCAACCACCTCCTTATTCAACTCTGACATGATGGGCTTCAAATCCTTAGTAACGCCCTCTTCTGTCCGACTTTCATGCAGGGACAAGAGAGACTGTTTGTTCTTAATGCAGTCTTTTCCAAATGGCAACACTCCACTTCCCAGGGCAGTCTGTACCTGTGGCATTAGCCACAACTTCTCTCTGTGGTCCAACTTCGTCTGAGCTCAGGGACTGGCAGCAAAATGAAGCGTAGGTATGACATCAATCTACCAGGCAACAGCACACAAACACAAATCCAGATTTGCCTTCTGTTAAGGTGAGTTCAAGAACAGACTAAACAACTGTTATATTTAGTAACAGATATATATTTTTTCTAATATCCATCATAGTCACCTATGTATATGTTATTTTAATTCAGTAATTTAAATTAACAAAACTGACCATCTAAGGGAAAAAAGCTTTCTGAAAAAAAAAAAGTCTTTTTTTTAAGCCAGAAAAGTCATCTTCTGTCTTGATGACTTTTCTGCATGTCTGCAAAAAAGTAGCTTTCAATGTTTTTTCCAAAAATAATCTTCCACCATACATGGGAATACAAAATGTTCCACAAAAGAGGCACATTTTATTGTCACTTTCTGATGAGATCTAGTTGTTTTCTTCAGTTTTCAAGTTATAGTTAATTCATAGAATATTTTTTTTTAGTTTTTTTAATAAAATATAAAAAAGCATTGCATAAACTTGTTTTGTGAAATCATATTCTCTGTCACGGATTTTAATTTTGGAAATTTATTCTACAGCAAGAAATGCGACTGTACCCATTGAACACTGAAAAAGTATATACTTGAAAGACCGTTTGTTCAAAATCATAATTTCTGTTTTGTTTTTAATTAAGTAAGGATTTTACATTTCTGTATAACTGGATTTTTAAACTGGCCATATGTAAAGTATCCAATAGTTTCATCTTAATTATTTATTAATAATAAATAATAATGTAGCTTCCTCATTATTTATCCTGTATTAATGATTGTATTGCTTAAAATATATTTTATTGGCTTTTGAAATTAAGTTACTTCTTTTCATATACAGCTCTTCGATATTTAACATTTAAAGACAACATAAAGACACAAAGATTACTTTGCCATCACAAAGTATTCTCTGGGATTCTGCTTCCTATGTTGCTGTTGAAGAAAAAGCAAAACTTTTGAGCTATGAGAAGTGATACATTAAGAAGAAAATTTCAGAAAGATTTTTGGGCGTTTACTAATTGTACTACACAATTTAGCTCGGCAAGTGTTCTTGAATTACATTTCTAATGAAACTTAAAAATTGCAAGCTGCATTATATACACAATGATCGTACAAATCACATTTTAAGTATTTACATAACCTGGCGATAATAGTTATTTGAACACTTGCTTGCTCTGCAGCCAAGCTAAAAGGCTAGCGGCTTCGTTAACGTCAGGTGGTTATAACGGATAATAAACAACAAAATATTTAACAACGAGCGAAGAGCTCGTTGTTATTGCAGTATGGCGAAGCAAAAGTTAAAATATTAGACAACTTGGTGTGGCACCATCAAGCATTAGCATTAACACCTTTCAGCTAACCTTACATTGCTTTATCATTACATTTCTTGTCACTCCAGGGCGGCGGCAGATATAACGGTCGTGAGAGGCTGTAGTTTGTCATTATTTCGACGTAAATATTCTACACTTACCTCAAAATAGACTCGAGTATTAGGAGGTCTGTGTAGGCTGTATTTTGTTGAGCAATTTCAACGCCAACCGCAATTCTGTCATTCGTTTATTTACAACAAATTGTAAAATGAAGAAAAAAATACTGCGTCCATTTGACGTATTATACCATTGGTTGAAATCGAGAAAGTTCCAGATGCGTCACTAGGCGTTGTCTCGACGTATTGTCTGATTGGCTCATCACCTTGTCGATCAAGTGTAGCGCATCCTCAAAAATGGATCGGTAAATTTAAAACAAAGTTTATGACTTAATTTTTTTTATCATAGCTTTCAGAATATTTCCGCAACAACAAACATAACACTAGATCTGAAATATTTTACGTTTCTACTTGCTAAGTTTTGAAAATGGATTCAGTATATTTGGTATTTTGTTCATCATCTGTCTCCGTAGCTGTGGCTTTGGATGCGTTTCTTAACAATCAGCCGGTGAATAATCTGGGTGAAAATGATCGCAATGAGAAGAGTATTTTCCTTTCTAATATAGGGAAAATTATGAATATTTGTGTTAGCTGAAGAAGGTTAGAGGCAACCTGTCAAACCGATCCTGGATTATAATATCAACAGCCGTTGACAAAAAGCATAAATTACATACATACCTCACCTCCCGACGCATAAACAGCCGAGTGGGAATCAAAATCTGCAGATCAAATAACTTTATTTAGAAATATGCTTAAATATCAATGACAGTGAAAGAGGGGTAGGTCGAGCATGGCGGTTGAGATATGGATATGTCACGACAGATGCACTGTTTGAGACCGACTGTGTACAAACCCCTCCAGCACGGCGTCCCTACTGCCTCGTCAAGTCGCAAATGGGGCGCACCCAGCTTCAGCACTTACCGCATGCGTGTTGCATGCCGCCTGCTGTTCGGAGTTCTTTAGCACGCGTAATTTGGGAAAAGCTTTTTGATTAAGGGGAAACATTTATTGCAACGAGCAACGAACGTTATTTATCAGTATGGGAGGTCAGGCTAAGAACAAGAAGAAAAATAAACCCAAGAGGAAGGACAACCGTCAAAACAGGGGTCAGCTGTGCAGTTATTCTACTTATGTTTTTTTGCTATATCCAGTGTGAAATTTGTTCGTCCCATTTATCAGTAAATGAGACACGAGCAACTTTTCATTCGCGCCTATGTTTCATCTCCACAGATGGGGGATTTGTTGATTTGTCACCTCAAGAAAGGATGAAAGTAAGAATGCATGAGAAAGCCAAGAAGAAGACAGCTGAAAAGTACTCAGTACAGCAACTACTAGAGAAGGTGCCTTTAAAAATGAAACATATCACAGTAGAAAGTGGCTAGTAAATGTAATCTGTACATTTATTTATCTTGTGTGTTCAGACTCAGGATTACATGGACAGTTTTGACTTTGAGATGGCTGGCCTTTTCTGTCAGAGAGCTTTGGATGTGGACTCCAACAACCTACAAGCTCTTGACATGCTGGGACACATTTGCTCTGAATTAGGAGACATGCAGAAAGCTAAATCAATATCCTTTTTGTGACTTTATTTTCTTTATACATTATCTACTGATTAGTCACTAAAGCATTGTGTATTTTGTTCACTCTGTCATGAAATGGGAATGGTTTGGGCTTCCTTTACCAACACCCAAGTGTTTCTCAGGGCAATAGAACTGAGCCCGGATGTTGGTCATAGCAAATACATGTATCTGGGACAAATTCACACCGGCCAGGAGGCTGTGGACTACTACACAAGAGGAATACAAGTTCTTCTGTCGGTTCTAGAGAAACAGGAAACAGAGGTTAGTGAGAACAACTTCATACCCTTTGAACATATCCACATTTCAACCATTCTGATTGATGACTGCAGAAAAATCTTTTCCTGCAGTAACAGCTGTCACTCTTCTGTGTATACGTCTACCAGCTTTGCACAGCTCAAGACTAACATTTTTGCAAATTCATCCTCACAAGAAAGCTCATACTAATACACTAAACAATGTTCATGTCTTTCCAGTTTCTCAATTACAGTTAGGTCTGTCTCTGACTCAACCTTTCTAACAGATGGATATTCCTTGATGTAAAACAAGTGGGGTCTGACCACATGTGTGAAGTAAAATGTGAATATCTTCAATGTATCTAAATATGCCCTATAATGATGCATCTTGTGTGTGTATTTTTAAGATGAATGTTCTAAAAATTTCATTCTAGTTGTGATTTAAGACAATTTATGCTTTGTCCACAAGAGGGTACTGTGGTCTAGACTACCCCTCCCATTAAGAATAGGTTCTATAAACAAGTTACATGATGATGAAGGGTCTTCATGTGATCATCTTCTTTAAGAAGCCGAGGCGTTGTTTCTTTCACCAAGAATGTTTACCTGTGTTTAGTAAAAAATGTGTGTTATTTCTTATAAAATAAACTAGATGTCTTGTTCGGAATAAAAAGCCAGAACAATAGTGTGGACATATGTGTTTGATTTTTGATACAATTAACTAAAATGTTCTGGAGTCACTTGAAAAATCCTAAACAGTGTGACAGAAAAGTGTCTTTTTTTAAATCTTAAAAGCAGATCAAATAAATGCTGAAAAAAAGAGTATTTGATAATTTCATGTACATTTTTTTTAATGAGACTAAAATGTTCAAAACTAATTTTACATGTAAATTGGTTCTGAAAATATTTGGGTGTTTATGTCTTTCTTCAGTAAAGTACAGATGTCTCTATTAAGACTGATGAACTAACAGAAAAAAAACAATCTCTGTGTTGAAATAAGTCATTCTGCAGAATGTGTATACGCTCACTGAACAAGAAGAGGACATTTGAGGCTTTTTTGTTAGTTACTCATTTATAACTCAGATTTTTTTCTGCTTGACACAACCATGTTTTCAACATAAATGGCCTATTCAACTGAAGTTCCTCTGGGAGCATAGACAAGTGTTTTCTAACATTATGTAACTATTAATGTAAAAATACTTTCCTGTTATGTTTTCAGTTTAAATAGTTTATATGATAATTTCTAAGTCAGGAAGTCTGTCTTGTCCTGCTCAGGCTGGTGCCGCTGGAACAACGGAAGAGAACAACGAGGTCCCTTCAGGGAAGGATGTCAGCGTGGCCTACTGCTCCCTGGCTGAGATCTACTTAACAGACCTCTGGTACCGCAGCAGAACAACCTGCACTGCTGACAACCTGCACTGCTGACAACTAGAAATTCACTCTCACATTTTAGTAATTTCTGATAACTCCACATTTGGTTCTTTCTGCTCCTCTGATCGTAGCATGGAGGAGGGAGCTGCAGACAAGTGCCGAGAGTTCATTGAAAAAGCTTTACAGTATCACCATGAGAACCCAGAGGCTCTCCAGCTTATGGCCAGTTACCTGTTTAGTACAGAGAGAAACCAGGTCAGTCCACGCACTCACACAGGGACTCCAGATGAATTATCGCCACATTAAAGCAGGAATCTGCCGAGTTAATTATTCTGAGCAGATTGAATTGTATGCCATTAATCAGCAGATGGACACTTACATTAACACGCACACACAGATGGGTAAAGCCAATAGGAATGTTAATTACTGGGCAGATCATTGAGGTCATGTAGTCATCTGATAAATTGAAAGAGACGAGGAAGCATGTTGGACTCAGTTTCCGAGAAAACTGCTGCATCAACCTTACAGTTTTATCCTGGAAGAACATAGAGGATTTGTGTAAACTAAATGGACCCTTAATTATATTTATTAAAAATAATATAGTCATAAATCCATCACCCCACCTAATGCAATGTGAGGTATTTAATAAATTATTATTTATTCATTAATCAGTGTTGTAAATTACTTGATTGTGAATATATATTATTGAAACAATGCCATTTGTGACTGAATATTTCTCTATTCATACATGAAAATATTGTGTTACATAGCTGAAATAATATCTCTTGAAAGTGTAGTTTTATATTTTTTTTTTACTAAAAATTTACAAGTGCAATAACTCTTGTTGATATGCACTGCTCACGTTTTCCTATTTAGTGACAATTTCTGATTTTCTTTGAAGTGTAATGTACCCTGTCTAGTTTTAGTTTCAAAAGATAGTTTTGCAACAAAGAGAAACAAAAACGTGGTCCAAGTCACTTTTTCTACCTTTTGTAAATTAAAAAGAATCTATCAGAGTATGCAACCTTAAACTTTCTGGGGTATATTTTCTGCTTTTGATTTGATCATAAACCAAAAATTGTTAATTATTAATTAGCTATTAATTTAGATGCCTGCTGTGAATAAAAAGAAAAACAAATCTGATTACTTTGATGTCTTTTTACTATTTCAGTGTGTTAACATATTGATCTTATAAATAGAAACTAAAACATTCTAAATCAAACTCTTTATTTTTTGTTATATTGTGAGGAATAATCCATAATTATTTTACACTGAGTTGGATGTAGGTGACAAAACATTTATTTTTCTTACTCTAGAGAAACTGAAAGCTACAACACATGCTAGAGGAACTACATATTTCTCTTTCATGTGTTGTAGCTTTTACATGAATAAAAATGTATCTTTAGTTACAGAAAACAGTCTCGCCGCCACCCCTGGCGAGGCACATTCTCATTTCGTTAATGTTTTGAAATCACAAACTCTTGACCGCAGCAGGAGGTTGATTAGTTATCACTGTGGGTTATCATGGGTTAAAATTAACAATAAAGATTAAAGAGGAGCATTTACATTATATCTTCCATCTATGTCAATGGATTCCTGTGAGTTAATGAAGTTTTAACGAAGCATGAAAGTAACATTTTAATTATAGCTCACGTAGCTTTTTCGCTATGTTGTTCCACTTAGCCGTGTCGAGAGCAGGAAACAGCCTTGAGCTTCAAATATGATCGAGATTCAACAGGTTTGAGTACGTTTTCAACAATATCTCAAATCTTTAAATTGTTGGGAAGTAGTCAAGAGTTCAACCAATGCAGTACCTGATGAAGCCTTTAGGGATCAGGCTTGCCCCAGTTTTTTTTTAGCTATCCATACATCCTCAGACCAACATGAATTTTTTTGTGTATTTTTTTCAGCCAAGCTGCTTTGATTATTATTTACAATAATTAAATTAAATCATAATAATTGGTCATTAATCTCTGTGGAGAATCAATTAACCAATGTGTAATACAAGAATATTTACATTTCTTCATGTTCGTAAAAGACATATCTGAAAGATTTTACACAAATTGATCATCACATGGATCTTTCTTTTGTTTTTAGGAAGGGAAGGAATACCTGTTGAAAAGTGTTGGGATGTGGTTACCTGTGCAGAAGCAAAGTGCAGCTTCCTCTACAACAGAAGAAGAAACACAAGTAAGCTTGTTGTCTGGTAGCTGTTTCTCTCACTGCCACAAATAATAATCAGGTTAAGAAATGCACTGATCAGAATTTTGTGGCCAAGTTCAGATCTCTGGCTTTGATGTTAATTTTAACATATTAAGTGTTAGGATTAACAGCCTTTAAAAAAAGAAGAAGACAAAAAAGAAAGCATTATCACAGAGGCCATGTAACTTTTAATGTAACTTTAGCATCTTTACTCTTTTTTAGCAGCCAGAACTTTTGGGCCCCTTGGCAGGCAGCAGTGACTCAGGTAGTGGAGCAGGTGGCCATGGCCCTCGAGGCTCCCCATTCGAATCCTGTTCCTACCTGGGGATAATCAGGGGTTTGCATAGGGAATGGCGTTTGGTCTTTAAAAAATCTGCCAAATTCGTATGGAGGCAGGTGCTGTATTGTGGCAATCCGTCAGAGAGAAGTGCCGAAAGGACAACAGCATCACTTAGCAAACTTAGCCTTACAGAAACACAACTTTATTCCCTGGACAATGTAGCTACTTAGCTTAACTGTAAGATGTCCCAAAGCATAAACTTTTCAAATCCAATGTCTTCAATAGCATCAGAAGTTTAAAAGCTCAAAATAATAAATTAGAGGAATTTTGCTTCACTCTTAACCTCTTCAAACCTGTCTTAATAAGCTCCATGTTCCTCTGAACTTTACTATCATCAGCCACACTGAAAAGTGTTGCTGTTGGCAGCGGTGTAAGGAAATCTACGTTCTGCATCATTATTGTATTGCGATGGCTCTAATTATTATTTCTATAAGACAACATAAATCTTCTGATAGCCTCTTTTGCTTTTTTTGCTTTCACTCTGGGGATTTTTCAAAGTTTTAAAGTTTACATAGGAATTCAATTGAATTCATGAGAATAACAAGAAAAATTGTTATTCTCATGAAGTGATGGTTTGGTGATAAATATACTGAATGCAAAGTATGCTTAAGCACTTTTTTGTATCTTACAGACACCATAAGATGATCACAAACTGCTTTGTCTTCACTTAATTTTTAAAAACAAATCCAGACATATAGATGTCTCTAAAGTATTAAAAATGATTTTTGTTTGTCCTTGGAGCCTCAGGGTGGTGTCTTAACTGAGCTCCTGATTCGCTGGTTAAGCTGGAAAACTGGTGGTATTATGTCACCATCCAATTTTATTGGTGCATCTTTATTCAGGTTTATTTCAAAAAGCCTTTTTAAACTATACTGGCTGTCAAAGTGTGCTTTGCAGCGGACGTTAAGGACATCAGCAAAGACAGAAAAAAAAGAAGTAAGAGATAATGAACTGGCGAACATTAAAAAAAAAAAAAAGATGAGACAAGCCCTTCACAAACGTGTGCTGTTAAGTCAAAGTGCGTGAAAAAAACTGATATGAAAGGCAGCACCAGGAGTCACACTAATGGGGAAAAATAATGGCTGCAGTGCTAGATTTTAATATCACCAAATAAATTACATCAGGGTTCATTTTAAAAAAGAAAAATGTGATACAGGAAAGGGTTTGTGATGATTTGGTAGAACAAACCCCCTGTGACTCCACAGTTATGACTCTTATCTTCACCTGCAGGTTGATCCGAACTCAGCCTGCTGACACTTTGACTGAGATTAACAGCCATGCAGCTGTGGAGCATTTTGCAGCCTGAAATTGGATCGTGTTATTATCAGACAAAGGAAGGAAGAACTCTGTTTGATTTTTCTCGTGTAAACACTCCTCCAAAGGTGGTCACATCGTCCTTTATTGTTATTTTCTGTTTTTTTTCTCCCCACTTCCTCCAGAATGAAATCCCTCCGTACGAGTCTCGCATCACCACAGCCAAACTGCTTATCGAGTCAGAGGAGTATGAGGTAATGTGTTTGCAGGTTGTTGTGCTTGCACGCTCTGTTTTGGCCAGTCAGTGCGTGATTCGCGGCAGGAGGCCGGCCTGGCATTTCTTTATGTGTGTATGTGTGCTTTTCTTTCTGCTGAATAGCGCTGGAGGTGGGAAGGCCATGCCTGGTCTTTATGCCCTTCAGAGTTTAGTGTCAATAATTGAAGAGTGGTATTTACAGAGACGGGCTGAGGTGGGATGGGGGGCTGCAGAAGCGAGGAGATGGAGGAGGAAAAATGGAGGGGGAAAAAAATCACAATGAACCTCTGTTTTGATGAATTGCTGCCATATCTTTGAAACGGCACACTCATCTGCTAAATCACTCATCAATTTCCAGTTTAAATGGCCTCAATTTCAGTGGCTCGCTGCCTTCAGTTCGGTACTGAACCTCCTAACAATCATTAACGCTTGAAGTCATTTTCTATGATTACTGCCACCAACAGCAGTGTAGCAATTTTCTGTTGTGATCCAATGATTAATTTCTAGTCAATCTTGTTGGGTGGTTTATGGTTATTACTGACAGGAAATGAGCAGTGTCCCTTTTCAAAGTTTTTTTACTCTTCCACCCACACAGCTCAGCGGCAGTTGCATCTTTTTGTATGTGTGTGTGTGTATGTGGGAGTGGAAGTGGGAGTGGGAGATGTGCTGTCAGGTGCATCAGTGAAATGACAGCGTTTCAGTCCATAGTTTCTGACATGTCATTTGTCTTCATCCTCCTGTTGGTGTCATCAAGCCTGAAACCTGAACCTCGGCTGTGCTCAGAGCTTTATAATGTCACATAATTTACCATATATACCAACATGGGTATGTATCCCAAGAGAATGTATTGTTCAGTCAAATTAGAAGTCTGAAATTTTTTGATGCAAGTTGAGCTTTATGTTTTTCCTGGAGTCAAGTCCCAGACTCGTTTTAGACGAATTAGGAGGGAACACTGTTTCTCATTGCTTCATGTTTTACTGTGTAACATGTAGATATGCTTTATTTAAAAGGTTCATACACAATCTGGAAAAGTATAGAGTTTACTTTAAGTATAAAAAATGTTTGTATTTCCATTTACCTTTGTATATCTGTTTTTCTCTGTTTTAATCCCATCCGTGTCCAACCATCTTATCTGTCAGTTCAGTTAGATCTGCTTGTCCATTCCTCCATCCACCCCTTGTTCTATTTGTTGGTCTATTTAATCCATCTGCATGTTATCTACCCACTTATATTATAACTTTGTTTTTTTCAGTTTTTTTTTTTTTCAGTCTGTAATAACTGTTTCCTTCTGGTATAAAATCTGATTTGTTCTCCAATCTGTTGACTTAGTGATGAAGACCTAAATCTAAGTTTCTTCTTTAAATGCAAATAAGCTGCAACAGTCTTTTGGCTTAGGCTCAATAGTACTGATGTTTAATCTAAAAATTATGTCTTACTCTCACTTTTTTGGCTCATAATAGACTTTAACTTTGTACATTCTCATTTATGTTGTTTCAAAAAAAAAACCCTGCATGTTATGGCTTGTGCCACATCGTCTTTGCCTGTGCAATATATTTTCTTGTTAGTAAGTTAGGGGAGAAATGTGTTTCTGTATTGCATGCGGGTGACAGATTCAATCTCCAAAAATGATTTTTTTCCCCCTTCTGTGTTGGTGTCAGACAGCACTTCATCAGCTGTGAACTCTTCAGTGGATGACAGTTTAAACAAGAAGCTAACACACCACGACCTTTGGCTCAGTAAAATAACACCTCTGCTCCCATTACCCCGTTGACACTGTCTCGTCAGCAGGGATCTAAACAGAAAAAAAAAAACAGAAAACAATCCACCAAATAGGTAAAAAGTCCTTCTTATAATACAAGTGCTTTGGTCCAATTCTACAATTTAAATAAAATGTGCAACTTGTGTGATGCATACACTCACTAAAGCGTGACATATTTCAAGCCCTTATATGCTTCTTTTTATGATTATTGTTTAGAGCTAATTAACACCCTAAATTTTAATTCTCAGAAAATTTGAATATGACATTATACCTTAAAAAATGATTCCTATTGCAGAAATGTCAGAGCAATTAAAAAGTGCAATTATGTAATTTACAGTAATACACTCAGTATGTGGTCTTGGCTCTTTTTGCATGAAATATGCCATTGAGATGGTCCATCTGGCTCTGCTGAGATGTTGAGCATAAGTTACTGTAATACCAACCTTCATCTCATCTGCATTTTTGGGAATTCTCCCTCTCATCATCTGTCCTATGTCTTATAGACTCTAGAGGGCTTAGGCCAGGCCAGTATCCTGACATAAAGTCCAATGGACCAACATAAGCAGATGACATGGTTCCCAAAATTATCCCGAACTTGAAGCTTCACGGTGGACATCAATCAGCTTGAATTCTGTACCTCTCCACTTTTCTCTGGTACCTTGATTGTCAAAATCAAAAATGACTGTCTTAAAACAGGATTTTGGTACACTGAGCAACAATTCACACTTTCTTTCTCCTTGCCTCCAGTAAGACACTTTCAACTCTGGTGTTCAGGCGTGGCTTAACACAAGGAGGGCGACATACTGTATGCAATACTTGTCCTAGGTATGTCTCTATGTGGTGGTTCTTAACGTGCCGACTCCAGATGAAGTCCTGGTTTAGCTTGTACACATTTTCCTTCCACTCAACTTTCTTTTGAGATCTTCCCGATACCTATATCCAGCAGCCACTAAGGTACACCCTGGACAGGTTACATGGCACCCAACTTTTCAACATTTTAATTTATTGAAGTGCTCTTTGACATGATTGATATGAGTTGCACCGTATTCCTGAAAAGCAACATTAAGATACACATCTTGTATTTCTGATATTCATATATATAAAAAAAATTACTTTTCTGCTGAGCTCAAAATGTTCTCGTCTATCAAGCAGACATATAAACTAAGCAAATTTTACTGAGAGAGGAGCATGATTTAATGCCAGTATTCAACTGGCTGAAACATCTATAGAGTCATTTAGGGAGGATAAAACATAATTTTCAGTCATTGATTGGCCACCCAAGATCTCTTGCTTCAACCCCATTAAGAAGATTTAAGATCTACTGAAGACTCCTCACAGCACACTGACTCTATCCTCATAAATACCAGAGCCAGACAAAAAGTTAATTCGGCTATAGACATAAAAATTGGTGTGTTTCATAAAACTAATGTTAAATGCAATGCAAAAAGATTTTTGTTCCTCCTTTTTTGGCCAGGAAGTGTGAAACAGAATTTCTAAGGTGGTTTAAAAATATATTTTAAGATGGAGCTTTTACTTAATTTTGTTGACAACACATTAAAACTCCCTAAAAATTGTAAAAAGCTTCTAAACAAGGGATTTGAATGATGGCTGGACCTCAAAATTAGTTTTTCCAAAAATGTGGCTTGGAAAAAAGAACAAGAAAAAAGTTTTCCCACATGAGTGGATTTCACATTTTATGGTCTTTGCTACTTAATTTGGGAAAGAAAATGAGCCAAAAATACTTCTTCAAATCCGTCCCCCCCTTTTGATTCATTTCACAACATGAATGCATACTAGAAATGTCATCTTTCACAGTGCTAATGGAATATGAGCTCAAAGATAATTACAGAGCCCTCTACATTTATTAGTGCCCCTGCTAAAAATGTGTTAAAAGCCATAAAATAAATTTTATTGCAGTAGCATGTAATTTCACACTGATCATTTTAAACAAATCAAACATTTCAATTAAGCATATTATCAAAAGAAACAAACATGCCAAGAAATATATTTTTCAAACAAAATAACAGTTGCCACATTTATTTTCACCACTACAAACTCCTGTGGAATAATTCAAACTAAAGCATTTTTGTTGTTTGTTCATTTTTGTTGTTTGTTCAAAAATTTACAGAATTTTTTGAAAATTTAAAAATTGAATGACAAAGCCTATTTCTTATAGGCACTGTTTAAAATCATAAAGACTATAAAACATATCATTCAAATAAGGCAAAAGGTATGGTGGTCTTCATAAATAAGATGTGGCAACAAGAAAATAGGTTATTTTCCCAGTCAGCCTTTATGTAGAGTTAAAGCAATGATTAGAGTTTACAGTGAGCAAAACTGTGAAAAAAACAGGTTGGACACGGGAAATGTTAAGGAAGTTGCATTAGCCGTGCTATTGCAAAGAACGTCGATTTTAAGGCATGTTTTGCATCTTTGCCATGTGTGACAAAGACTGGATAGTGCAATAGTCCATCTTTATAAAGTAAAAAAGTGGCTGTTTTCATAATTGTTTTAAACTATATATTTTTAAATGTTTACATTTTAGGTTCAGTCATTTGCTTTTCGTCTATAAGTGTAGAATTTAAAGAATAATACATTTAGAGCATTTTAAACCCTGGATTCAAAGTAATAAAACTGTGTGAAATTTTCATGGATAAATCTGTGGAAATATAGTTTTACTGTATATTTTTCACTTCAAAATCTATTCTATTATTTTATAAACAATAAATTAGTTTTGAAGGAAAAAAACATGAAAATGTCAAGACATCCAACTGAAAAAGTGCATAACTTTCACCCCAAAGACACAATCAATATACAGAATAAAGCCAAGATAATATATATATATATATACTGATATAAATACAAGTTCAAGGCAAATCCAGTTCTATTGCAATACAGTACTGTATCATGCATTGTGAAGGACCAACTGACCTGCATTTAAGCTATTTGTTTTAATTGGGGAAAAAAAAAAAAGTTTTGTTTCTCTGTTTTTATAAGTGTCCTGCAGAGTTCCCTTCTTTCTCACTTACATTGACACACTCTCACAAACACAAATGTCATCATCATCATCCATCATTGCTGCTGATTTACTTGTCACACAGCAGACGGGGAAACGGACAGCTACCTTCTCCTGACAGCCATTAAGGCATCTTTCAGTGCAGTTGTCACACAAGCTGGTGGATAGTATCGTACCTTCTCACCTTGTCACTTGTGTTCACATTTATTTATTTACTAAACGCTTCTGTCATTAAATTTAGACTCTCGTGTTGCTTGTGTCTCCCATATTGCTCACGAGCAGTTTGCATAGACTTCTCCTAGATTAATTTACTTCGCTGTAGCTATCCCTGTTTGTGTGTCTGCATGTGTGTGAGCTATGGCGCGCCCTCACTTGTAAAGTGATTTGTCTTTCTCCAGTCTCTGCTGCACGCTCCAGTAAAATGATTCTGTTAAACAGCATTGCCTGAAGACGACACACAAACACACAAACTGCACTTGAGCACGGTGAACATTATAAATGAGTTCCTCCCCAGAGTCCTGCTTTTTTTTTTTGTTATAGAAGTCTTGAAATAAAGAGGACAGCATGATTGTATTGTTTTTATTGTTTTTAGTGTTTATGTGCATCTTGTTTTTTTTTTTTTGCCTCTCCTTTCCAACTTTATCCCTCTTTTAATTTGCATCACTCCCTATTTTTCTCTTATCTTCACAGGAATATTAATCTTGTTGTTGTTTAGAGCGTGAAGCAGCTTAAAAAACTCTGAATCTTTAATCACTTGCCCCTGGGCTGACCAGTGTAGTTAAGAAGTTGGAGACGATATAATGGTTATCATTGCTCACTTGTCCTCGCTTCCAGATATATCTCTTGTTCTATTTTTGCTGCTCTAAAACTGCCTGTTCTAACTGTTGTTTAATACTCCAGCAGCTCTTTTGTCCCATCTAGTAGAATGAACTTTACCACATTTTGTCATGTCACAACAACAAACTTCAATGTTTTTTTATTGAGATTTTATTTGGCAGAGTAACGCGAAGTAGCAAATAGTTGCAAATATGTGTGAATCAAATGAATGCTACTTTGTACTTTGTAGAACTACCGTTTTCTGCTATTAAGTGGCCAGGATATTTGCTTATTCTTATTACAAAATAGTTTAAGCTTAGTCAGAATGGACAGAAAGCATCTCAGATCATTAAAATATTAATGTGTATCTGGGCATACATGTGAATGTGGTTTTATGTTCATTGTCGTGCTGGAAGTTGATCCTCAGTTCCAATCTCAGTTGTTTTATAACCTCTAATAGATCCTGTTTACACATTTTCTCACCAGCACCAACCCCTGTAGATTCTCCAGAGATGCAAAGAGCTGCTTCTGTAATTAATGCTTTCCATATCCGACTTATTTAGGACGACTAAAATATTTTGGTAGGTTTTTAGGTTTGGGATAGTGTTCCACAAACCAATCCTCACTTAAACCTCTCCACATGTTACTCCTGACCTGTTTGGTGTGATTTTTTGTCTTCATGATGCGTTGCTCATAATGCTCTCTAACAAACCGCTTAGGCCTTCGTAGAACATCTTGATTTATACTGAGAAAAATTTACACCCCAGTGGACTCCATGTTCTCACTAAATGACTTGTCAGGTATTTGGTTTCACTAGATATTACTTAGAGGGATGACAATTCACATGCCTCTAAGTATGTGAATGCTGAATGCGAATACGGACGGTTTGGAAAAAGAGGTTTTGAAAATCTAAATAGTTCACTGAGTTCACAAGCACTTCTTTCAATTTGTGTGTGACATATAAGCTCAATCACATTCATGAAAGTTTATGTTTGTCGCATAACAGATTGCGAACTATTCACAGAATGGAAACACTAAATATTTATCGTTTGGCACTTTATCTTTGTGCTCGTGCTGCAGTGAGACAATGACAGTAGAGGAGATAATTGTGGTGCTTGGCATAAATCCATCCCTCATCGGTGAAGATTGGGTGTTTTTGTTTTGTGTGTTTTTAATCAGTCATTAATTAATTTAGGACAATAGGTTCTCTGCTCATAATTGGTCTAGCAATCAATCATCTGACTCTCTGACATGCACGTTTGAGCAGTCTTAACGAGATACTCTCAATTAACCCGACTCACTCAGTCTGTGCAGGCGGCGGGCCTCTTTATCATCACCGGAACCATGTTGCCTTAATGAAAAGAAACTCCATAGAGCAGTAGGAGAAAAAAAAAAAAAAAAACTAGGAAGTTCTCCAGCTAATAATTTTGCCTTAGCAAAAAAAAAAAAAAAAAAAAAAAACAAGTGCAGCTTGTTGAAGTCACATTTTTGTTGAGCTTTTGCTGTCGGTGTGTGTATGTGTGCAATTGCGAGGGTGCGTGTATGTCTTTTATTCTTGCCCTTCACCACGGGTGATTGGCTAGCGGTCGCCTTCAACCTGAAGTTGACAAAAATCAATATATCATCACCTGGGGCCTTACACACACACAAAGAGACTCACAAAGGTAGCACAAACCACAGATTCCACATGGAGAGAGTCGGAGCTAAACAAACACGCTGCCTACTTTAGTTGAGCTCTGATTTCTGTAATGGAAACTTCCCACAGACAACGCTCCAACAAAGGTCAGCTAACATTTGGCTCCTTTGAGACCTCAAACCGCCTCTCCACGACACTACAGAGAGTGACTCAGACAAACACCCTGAAAGTGGGGGGGAATGTGGATAATGTGTCAAGTTGATCTTTAGATTTATTTGGGCCTCTTGCTCTATGAGGTGAAGGGAGGGTATGAGTAGTTTGTCAGTAAAATGATTAAAAGGGCCATCGGAAACAGTGTCTGCAGTGATTATTGACTGTGCGATAAGCACTCATGAGTGTGTATATTGACTGCCGTATCTGTTGTCTTGTTGGTATTGATGACATTGTGAATGGGGACGCTGACCCCCTTGATGCTTATCAGACCCTCTGATCACTGTCATTGATTGAGCTGCCTTGAAGATGCACAACAGCGCCAACAACAATGTTACTGGTTACTGAAAATTTGTTGAAAGCCATTGCTCACACTACATTTTGCTTATTTCACTATTGAATGAGCAGTTGTATGTTCTTTTTTTTAATTCTGTTTCATTATCTTATTTTCTCTTTCTTTATTAGATGGCGGTAGATGTCTTGGAGGGTCTTCTGGAAGAAGATGATGAAGTTGTTCAGGTAAATAATGCATTGACTTTATGAAATAAATAAATAAAACATGCTTAAGGGAATTTGAGACATTTATATTACTGTGTAAAGGTCTTGCGTTGTCAAGTATCATCTATATAGTTTTTTTGCAAGTTGCAAGACTTTCTTAAGGTGTTCTATCCATTTTCCTGTTGCTGGTGTTTTTGCAGTTTCTATCTTTAAATTCATAGACTTGTGATCATAAAGACTTAATTTACCTTTTACTTTAGCCTCTTCTTTCACTTGGTTTTTCCACTGGTATTTTTTTTTTTGTTAGGCTAAATTACTCCAACCTAGGAATCATTCAGACACAAAAAAACTCTGACAACTTCACAAAAGAAGCTATTTCAAATCAGATATTTTGGAACTTTCACATTGTCAAAATGAATTGACTTTATGTTCTCAAGTGCCACCTATTATTCAGCCTGCAAGACAAACACCAGGTATGCTAAGAATAATCATCAAGCCCACAAAAAAGACTTCACAGTCCATAGTTTGCTATGATTTAATGAGCTGCAAGAGCTAACCCCAGTCAAAGCTTTTGTCAGATTTAAAGAATATAGGTGGATTTAATATGGGACATATAAGTGGATTTAATATAGGACATATAGGTGGACTTAATATGGGACATATAGGTGGATTTAATATGGGACATATGGGAGGATTAAAAATGGGGAGACACAGGGGGATTTTACATTAATAGTGGCTTACACTCTACTAATGTACTAGTTGTATTTCTGTTTGCTTAACACTGGGAACTTAAAGGAGATACTTCAGTATCCAGTAATGCTATCTTAAGTTGGCCATTGCCAAATATTTTGAAAGTGACAATTACTTCAGTTTCTGAGAAATGTTGCTGCTTCATTATTACCCAGTCTTAGTCTTAGATTTGCTTCTAGGGTATATGGCCATTTAATAATAAATCTTTTTAAGTTTCATCCACTTTTATTGATAAACACATCAGTTTTAAGCAAAGCTTCTGTATTTACAATATCAGCAATTCTTTTTAAAGATTTCTACAATTCATCCATAATGCCAGTTTAGATGAAAACCTCTGGGCCAAATCTTGGCACATGGTGAACTATTCTTGCTCCATAAGTACTTGAAATTGCTTTTTTTTGGGTCCATTCACTGTTTGAGAAATGACTGTAGGCTTTTATTGGAATTAAGATCTATACAATTGTCTTGCCATTAACCTGAAATGTCCTTGTCTGGATCCTTGGGCCACTTAGTTATGACTTTTGCTTTGTGATGCAGTTCTCCAACTTTCTTAAAAAACATGGTTTTTCACCAAATTGGATAAGGATCCATATCCAGAAGATTCCTAGGTAATAATGGTCGGTGTATATTTATGAGAATGTGGTGCTTCAGTTTGTTTATAGAAAATGAATTAGAGCCATTGGCATTGTCAATCATGCACATGTACACACTGCTCACATCCTTCCTTTGCTCTCAGCTACCACAGCTCCTTCCTTACAGTGTTGTGAACATGGCCACCAATGACAAAGGATCAACAATTTTCCTGTAACAGTATGTTTTTTCTCTGCCGTTAGCACAGCTGCAGCGAACTGGCAATCAATCAATCAATCAAATTTTATTTGTATAGCACATTTCAGCTACAAGGCATTTCAAAGTGCTTTACATCATAAACACAAAACACAAAGGCATGCAACATAGAATAAAATACCAAGGTTTTTTTTTTTTGTTTTGTTTTTTCCCTCTTTTTTCCCTTTCTTCCCCCTTCCCTTTGACACGGAATTTAAGCGCCTGTTACCGCCGGACTCCGCCGTCCGTTTAACCACGGGTATTCGCCGGGCCCCGTTGCCCACAACAGGAAAAATTTTTTAAAAAAATAAAAAATTACATACATATCCACAAAATCAAATCCATACATATTACATTCAAATGCAACTCTAAACAGGTGCGTTTTTACTTGAGATTTGAAGGAAGTCAGGGTTTCCGCTGTTTTACAGTTTTCTGGAAGTTTGTTCCAAATTTTTGGTCCATAGATGCTGAAAGCTGCTTCTCCTCTCTTGGTTCTGGTTCTGGGGATGCAGAGCAGACCAGAACCAGAAGACCTGAGAGGTCTGGAAGGTTGATACAACAACAGCAGCTCTTTGCTGTATTGTGGTGCTAAACCATTCAGTGATTTGTAAACTAACAACAGTATTTTAAAGTCTATTCTTTGAGCTACAGGGAGCCAGTGGAGGGACTTTAAAACTGGTGTTATGTGCTCTATCTTCCTGGTTCTAGTGAGAACGCGAGCAGCAGCATTCTGGATCAGTTGCAGCTGTTTGATTAATTTGTTGGACAGGCCTGTGAAGATGCTGTTGCAATAATCAATGCGACTAAAGACAAACGCATGAATGAGTTTCTCTAGATCTGGCTGAGACATTAGTCCTCTAATCCTGGAGATGTTCTTCAGGTGATAGAAGGCCGATTTTGTTACTGTTGAAGCATGTACACAAGCATATTGAACATTGCTAAGACCCTCCTCCTGACTGATTGTTTTCTTTATAACCAGGTGTGGTGTATTTCTCTACAGGGAGGAGGCAAAGAAGCTTCATGATTTATATATATATATATTTTTTTTATTGTGCATCTGTCTCACACTGTACTGTCAGAATATACTGACAGTTTTAGCAAGTTTTATAAAAGTTACCTTCTGCAGCTTTAAAGCAAAAGACCATCAAAGTTGTGGAAATTTTTCCTATACTGCCCAACTCATTGCTGGTTCAAGTGGAGGAACTGAATGTATCAAAGGTATGATAAGTATGATAAGGACAGACAATTACACTACAATTTAGAACAATTTGTGCCCCCGTGTCTGAAAACTAGGTCTCAGATGAAGTTCCAGGCTCTTTCAAAGAGGCATAAAAGCAGGACCCAATCATACATGTTACTGCACAAAGGGACAGTGGAAAAGGAGCAGCTTGTTATATAGTATCCAACTATGAGGCCTCATTTACCATTGTAGGGGGGAAAATGCCAACTTTAAACTTCAAAGGATCAATAGAAGATAAATCGTACAAACCAAGAGCAGGCTATGACAGGCAGGGTCTGGGTATATATATTTTTTTCTGAATGTTAGTGGATTTCTTGACAGGCACAGGATTATTGCAATTACTGATCTGATAAAAAATGAAAATAATTCTGATTAGATTTAGAAATTAGGTTCATACCATATCATAGCTTGCAGGAAATGTATGAACAAAAATATAAATCAAGGTCTGATTGGTTTTATTGAAAAACAGAAATATAAGCAGGTATTAATGTCACGCCTTGTTATAATAAATTATGGCCATATAAGGGTGAAAGAACACTGGCAAATGTGTATCCAGAACACTGGTATTAGACCCTTATGTATCGAAGATTAATTTTGAGTGTTTCACTTTCCCAAGATTGAGATTCAATTTATAATGCTGAAAATGATCAGATTGAAATAGAAATAAACTAAAATAGGCCGCTTATCAGTTATGAGTGGAATTTTAAAGGAAAATAGTAAAGCTCTATCTTTTTGAAACTGTTGATTTATCTGAGCCAATCAGTGACTGGAATTGAGGTCATCTGATGTGAGCAATATGCACACACAGATACAGAAAAATTGCTGCAAACTGATTGAAACTTGTAAAAAAATGAAGAAAAGTTTCTATTAAAAAAATTGACAAAAAGAAAAAGGACTTGATTTATGGTTCTAGTTAGCGTCATTCATAATGACAATGGGGGCTGCACAGTGGAGAAGTTGGTGGCATTGTTGCCTTGCAGCAAGAAGGTCCTGGGTTTGATTCCTGGGTCTTGAGTTTTTCTACATGGAGTTTATCATGCATGGGTTCTCTCCGGGTACTCCGGCTTCTTCCCACAGACCAAAAACATGAATGTCAGATTAATTGGTCTCTAAATTCTCCTTAGGTGTGTGTGTGTGCGTGTGTGTGTGTGCATGGCTGTTTGTTTCTGTGTTGCTCTTTGATGGACTGGCAATAACGTGTGTTAATTTTTATACATACAGCGAATAACAGTCCATAATTTAGGTGTGCCAATTTATAACCAAGACCGAAAGCATTCTTATATTGGACTTGGCACTGAACCTATTCCATGGTGGACTAAATAGCTGTATTCTTGGTTCAGTAAAAAGTATGTGCCAATCTGCTCTAAAAAATCCCGTCAGTAGCAGAAAATGGGAGTTTGTCGCTTAGCGTTACACAGAAGAGCACTCTTCCTTTCTCTATTTTTTTCCCCCTGCACTCCACCCTCAGGCTCATCCTCCCACACAAACCCCTCCATAGCCGGGTTGAGAGCAGCCTTTGGGGAGCTGAACTTTTAAACTCACTCCTGAGACAGTTGATTTGAGCGGACCTCCACCAAGTCACACAAACAAACAAACAAAAAACTGGTCTAAATGGTAAATTTTCTTTTTCTGTTCATTTTACAGACAAGAAATGACAAGACAAGAAATGCATAAGGGAAACATATTTAAGCATGGCAGTAACTCACTCCCCTTGTCCTTGCGCTTCCTTCCTTGTGTCAATTCCTCCTCTGTGCAGCTGATAAGTGTTGAGCTCTCACATCTGCCTGCTTGCACTCTTGCATCTCAAAGCTTGGAACCCTACTTACATAACATTAAGTCTGCACAAACAACTGAGCTGGTTCTTTGCCAATCTTGTTTCAAAGGTATTCGCTTGATTCATGATCGCTTTGTTCTTCCCTCAGTGGCGCCATATGGGAGCTAAGATGCGACTTGACTTTAAAATTATAACAGAGCCTGCGATTTGATTGACACACAGAATTCCTTCTAATATGTGTGATTTTGTGTGAAGTTGTAGCTGAGTGGAATAGATTTCTCTAAGTTCTTAATTAGCTCACTTTTTAACAATTTTTTATATAGATGTTCAGTCATTTTTGTGTCCTCCATGTGTCACGTGTTGGACAGTCTGTCATAAAAAATGTGAAAATTTCACATTTTTTAAGATAACTAATGTTTGAATTTAATTCAAACATCATTTATTCCAATGATATTCTCACGCTTTTTGCTGATTTGCATTCTAAGTAAATGCCACAATGAGGAACAACACCAGAGTACTATTTCTGTATCATTGCTGCTGTTGTGATAAGCACAGCTGCAGGGGGTGGGGGCAGCCTCCTACTCAGCCTGCTGGGTGACAATTCTGGATTCAGCGTGCTATGCCACGATGTGTTTGTTAGCTAAATGGTTGATTTGTCAAAGGTGCTGGGTCTCCCACTGCCGCTACCCTCAATGAATAATGAATAAAGCTAATATTTGTTTCTTGGTGCTTGAAGAACAGTGGGTGGGTGATCTTCGGCCTCAGATGAGAGGCGCACACACCTCTGAGTTTGGAGTGAGTTAGATGTGATTGTTTTTAAAGGTGGGAGGCTTGGTGCAGCTCTGTTGATGTGATTATCCAGAGTTAAGAAGCATGATTATTGGAAGTAAAGAAAACTAGATGATTTCTGAGCAGGTACTTAGAGTTAAAATATTCTACCTCTGTGTGAACTTTGTTGATTAATAGCATTAATTTTTTTCCCTTGTTTTTTATCTCTACCAACTGATATTTGGGGTGGTCAGCAAGTGCAACAGTGAACACACAGTGATACATATTCTAAGCTTCAAAATCTGATTTCCGAGGAAAATAAAAAAAACGGCATCTGCTCATGTTGTTTTGGCATCTCCTGCTTGTTTCTGCCTCTGTGTCAGTTAAATATTTGAGGACAAAAATACCCAAATCAACAGCTTTTTTTACTGGGATACAAATGACATGTACAATCAGTATGTACTTTATTAGATTCACCTGCTCAATGCCATACTATTTTATTTTTAGGTTTGCAAAACTAATATTGCATTTCTCCCCCTTTACTGATAAAATGTCCATCCTTAGCTCAAATAACCCTTTGTTAAACAAACCTAAGTTTGTTTAATATCATCTCTGAACACCTGGAACAATAGCAGCAGCAGCAGAAGGTGACTCCAGGTTCATCTCCTATAAGATAAGAAGAGGAATGATTGTACAGTAACATATTTTAAGAAAGTTCCCTGGCACAAAGAGCCTTTGTTGCTGCAGCTGCAGCTTTCAGTCTGATAATGGTGTACATACAACCAATAAAGTATCCTTCCTGTCATGTATCATCAATTCTGAAATCCCTCTCTCTTAATGCAGAAATCTAACTGAAATTAGGAGCGCTTGCTTTTTGCAACTGAGGTCTCTCCAGCTTACCCTTCTCGATCTGTATCTCTTAGGTTTGGTATCTGTCTGGCTGGGTGTGCTACCTCCAGTGGGACAAGGCAAAACAACACCAAGAAAGAGAAGGAAGTGAGGCATCGGAGGAGAATAAGGAGGAGTGGAAGGCTTTACAGGATGCTGCAAGGTCGTACCTGACTAATGCTAAAAAGGTAATTTTGTTAAAAACAAAAATAAGCAATATCATTCTCTTTGTTCAATTTTAATAAAGTAATATGTCAATGTTTTGTATCTTAAGGTTTTGAGTTAATAGGCTATGTTAACTCAATGTAAACATGCTTGTAGGAGAAAAACCAGCAGATCCAAAACCAAACAAATAATAATTCACACTCATTGAACACTTAAGATATCAATAAAAAATTTCTCCAAAATATAAAATATAAAAATTAATAACTTTTTGTACCATGTTTATTCTTAAAAATGTACTTATAGACTTCCCTATAAGTCTGCATGGTGCTCCAACATTATTATGAACAGAGTGCAGTTTCTCCCTCTATTATGTGCATCAACAGTGAGTGCAGATAGTTAACGTCCAGTAAGCTGCCACAATAGGTTATTCTCCGATGACTTGGTTCTTGTCAGAGAAATAGCTTATGCAGCACCATGAACATGAGCCCATTCTTACTAAGCTTCATTGTTGCATCAGAAATAGCTGTGCAGAATCTCAAAGATGTTAAAGTTTTCACCCAGCTCCCTTCGCCCCCCTCCCTCTTTCCCACAAACAGACACACACAGACCAAGTGATGTGTCTCATTTATTCTGTCATTCTGTCAGGGAGTAATACCTCTGTGGAGCAGTGATTCATGTTAGTCTAAAATCCAATAGCCTTGTAAATCAGGCAGCCTGGGCTAAAGGATGGCAGGCCCCACCTACTATTTTTTTCTCTGACTCCCTCCACCCCCATTGCCTCCTGCTATGCATCTTCTCTACCCATGTGCCACACCAAAATGTGCTCTTAGAAATGAGTAGCAGCAGGTTAGTGACAATACATTGATGTTTGTTCTTTCTGGACTGGCGGTATATTGACTTGACTGTTTCCTAAGCATCTTAAGACATTCGTCTTCAACTGAGACAGAGAGGCAGTAAGTTTGCAACAGACAACAGAGAGAGAGCATGGGAATCTTGTACATATTGATCATAGTTGCTAGCAATGGGGAGTATGAGACAATTGGAAAAATGCAACAAGAAAAGGGATAAATTAAGTACTTAGATGGGTTGCTTGACGAGAAAGAAGGCAAATAAAATGAGATGAAAGTCTTGTGAAAGAACTGAGCGAGATGTCGGAGCGTGACGGATAAACAGCATAGCAGTTTCTCTCCAGGGCGAGTCGAGCATAAGAATAATGTGAACGGTAAAGCACAAAGACCTTGGAAAGGTGAGTTGGATTGTGTTCCGGCTCCCTCACAGCACATTCAATTCTGTAGCATTGCATGTGTGCACATCCGTCCATTGTTTAGATGCGATCTAGATTGAACCTGAGCTTTATTTCGAAGCCTCAGCTTGAGTTTTAATTATTGACGATAAGTTTCTCTGCTAGTTAAAATGGGTTCCAACTTGGAAATGAGGCCCACAAAGCCCAGCGGCTGGATTTGGCACCAGTCCACTTCTCCTCTGCATACTTTATGACCCTGGTAAGTTAAGTGTGCAGGGGGGCGTTGTGTGAGACAGGCACATGCACATGCAGAGTCTCGCAAAGGTACTCATACATACTGAACATTTCCAGGTTTTGTCTTGTTATAGCTAAAGTCTTTAATTGCAGTTTTATGAGATTATCATGTGTTTATCAAATGGAAGGAGGTGATTGATTTCTTTTTAAAAATATTACACAGAAAAATCTTGAAAGTGTGGTACGACTTCGTATTAATTACTAAATAACATTTGGTGCCCCAAGGTTTTAAGAAGACACCTAAATCCATCATCTAAAAACAATCTAATGCATACCCCCAAATACATGACGATCACCTAGATTGACAAGTTGACCAAGGAGACTTTAAAAATTAGGCAGCATTATGTTATTAAAGCTAAACTTTTAAAATGATGTGGCTTTATATTATTAAAACTAAAGTTTAACCAGTGATACTTTTATAACAAATTTATGTCAGATCAGGATTTCTTGGTTAATGAGAAGTTGTCAGAACAAAGACATTTTGAATGATGTCAACTTTGCATTAAAAGTGTCATGATTTACTGAATGACACTTTATGACAAGAGTCATAAATATTCATGAAGACTTCATGACAAGTGTTATGTCATGTTTATGATGGTTTCATGACAGTGTTATCCACAACCCATCAAATAAAGTGTCACCTAAGTAATTTCATTTCACATAATTATTGCAGTAGTAGCCATTTGTTTGTTAAAACTTAATGAAATATATTTGTTCTATTTGATGTTTGTTGTGAATACTCACAAACAAACGAGGTAATTAGTCCAAGTTTGGCGGTTATTGAACGTTCGGAAACTTCAGCGGCTCTGATGTGCCACAGCAAAGGTAAACAAAGGTGAAACAACCCAAACAGGTGATCAACTCAAAACCACTCGTACCTTTTTACTCTCTCTCTCTGTCGTTTTTGCACACCTGTTGCCCTGGCAGCCGCCTGCGCCCCTCGAGCCGAGCAGAGATTATGTTAAAAGCATAACATTCAGTCCGTTACAATATTAGATTTTCAGGCTTGATATTTATTTTGCGATTATTAATAAGCCTCTCATGAACACAGCGGTGGTTGAGTAGCTAATTTAAACTCTTGCTCTGCCTGTCAGTCGGTCTTTGAGTCGCCTTTTTTTTTGTAAATGGAATCGAAACACACTGAATTGCACAACACCGTGTTGAAACAATAATTACTGAGATTATTAATTTTAACATGTTCCATTGATTTTTTTAAAATTATTATTCTTTAATGAAGACATAAACATTTAGGATCTTAGTGAATATTTTGATAAGCCTGTCAGAAGAGGAAGTGCTGGTCTCAGCGTCCCGGTGGCATTCAGTTTGTCACCTACTGCCAAGATCGACTCAAAACCTTCCGAATCGACGTATTGAGCATCCATGGTTTAGACCAAAGCATATTTATGTTTTAGAATACCACAAAGTAGACCCTAAGTCCAGCCAAGCACGTGTGGTGCAACCTAAAATGTTGTTCACGTCTGTTTTCTATCCAATGTTATGTTGGTTTATCTATTTTGCAAGTGATGGTCAAAAAATGTTTGATCAGGCAAAGCTGGTAGAGACATGTATTTGCTGATGGAAGTGAAGCAAATGGTGGCTCTACAAATGATTAACTCACAATGTCTAAGTACAAATTCATTTTAATACTTTTCAGGTTTTTGTTTATGAAGTAAACAGAAGTAAAAGGAAGTCTTTTTTGTACAATTATACAATAATCTCCATTACATGCAATGTCAGGACAATATATGGAAGTTTGTAATTGTAAATGATAAAATGAGAAAAAAGCACTATTTCTTCATGTATGCTCAACTTTGCTGAATTGTGTGTATTATATGATATCTGTGGGTTTTTTGCCAAATGCATCAGGTGCAAAGTGCTTTGCAAAAGAGAACAATGGGGGAAAATTGATTGGAAAAAAAGAGTAGGAGATGACCAGCAGAGTGAGTTGGAGAGCAAAAGAAGAGAGGGGGGGACCGGGAAAGGGAATGAATTAGACTTGGTGTGTGTTGAGGCAGGGGGTGTGAATAGTGGGTCTGGGTAAAATCAATAGTAAACCGGACGTGAAATGGAATTCGAGATAGGGTGCGATTTGAGGAGGGATCTGCGGTGTATGCACACAGGGACAGTGTTATGTATGATTGTGTGAAGGCGTGGGATGTGTGTGTGCAGCAAAGGAAGCTAGGGCAAAGAGAGGTCAAAAGCTTAGCCATTTGAAGTGGTTGAAAGGGTATCCCACGAGCACAGATTGTGGGCAGGGGGCTAGTCGTGTAATTTTAATGCTTTTCCCTTACAAGGATGTGACTGGAGGACCTGGGGTGTTAAGTTATGTGAGTGTGAGTTTTGCAGTCAACTCTCTGGAGATTTTTAGCGACATGCCCTGTTCACACTCCAGAAGCTCTAATCTCACCCACTGTCACACCCTTGCCAGGGTAGAAGTGTTCATAAAACAGTGAGATCCAGCAGATAAGTTGGGAGGAACTAAAAGATGGTCTAATGAAGAAATATTCAGACCTTAAGGAGTTCATTGAGAGGACTTGGCACTATTCTGCCAAAATGGAAGACGATTGTGTGCTCTTTGTACGAATATATAGATGAGAGCGAGCAGAGACATCCGTCTCCTTGACTGCAAGGTCGTCTAAGGGGAGTGTAAGTGTGCAAAGCTGAAAAGGAAAAAAAAGTGGACAAGAGAAATGCAGCGGTATTAGCAAATGAAATAAAAGAAAAGGTGAAATGAAAGTGGAAGTTAAGCATAGGTGTAGAGCAGAGGCCGAACAATGATGGAATGATTAGGCTTTTACCACATAATCAGCCTGTCTTTTATCTACCATATGCCTGGTAGGCAATTTAAAGAAATTGCCTACCAGGCAGTGGAAGGAAAAGAGTACATTGTTGGACACAGGGTCGAATGGTGTGTAGCTTTTACACATTTGTCTTCTTCATACCGGGTTATAATACAGATACAATACAGATCATTTATACTACATCTTATAAAAAGGGGAGATAATTAAAAACATATTATTCACTCGTATTTTATGGTAAAATCTGTTTTAATTTTAAGAATAAGAAGAAAGTGACTGCAAGGGCATTCTAACCCACCGTCTACCTACAGAGGTTACATTGTGCACCTAATTTTCTACAAACTTCGACAAAGAAAAATGATTTCTTCAAAATTACTTAGCTCACTTTTGAAAGTTGAACACAGCTGTGTTTTCCAACACTAAAATGGTCCAAAACACAACAAAACTGGTTTCCGAATAAGAAAATCAGGCTACAAGCTATTGTAATTCAACGCAATCCACAAAAGTGGGGTTCCAAAAAATAATTTTTTGATCAATTCAAATTTATATCAATTCAACCACTTCTCGAGAGCTTTATGGGACTGATATTAGTGAGAGCATATGAGAGAAATGCCACTCTGCTTTTAATCTTGTATCTATAATTTCAACCTTGTGTGGATAAGAGATAAATTCAGACTTGTTCATCGATTTTTCTTCCCTAAAAAAGTAATTGAAGTTATGTTACATAATCATCCTACCCTGGAAAAAATGACTCAAAAGCATTAAATCAAAGCCCAAAACTGACAAGAACTGTAACCTAAGGCAATAGCAGCGACTTGTTAAAGCCAAAGTCACTTCAAAATGCAGGAGCACATATCGACAGTGGTTGTGTTCGTGCATTCCTACCTGTACAACTGCATGAAACATGCGAGCAGTTATAGTAGTGGTCAGGTGCGCTTTGGTCCATGACTTTAAAGTGGAGCAAGAAAAAGCATGAAAAAGTTATACGATCACACACCCGCACACACTCTCCCTCTGTAGGCAGCTCTCTGGGCCGTGAAAGTGAGAAGAGAAAAAAAAACCCTGGCTGCTCTAAATGAGAAATGCCTGTGTTTTGTCTTTTCGGGGTTTTTTTAGCGACAGCCATGCTGATCTAAGCAGCACTCATTGTGGGATGCGTAAAGAATAGCTCCTGTTTGTTTTCCTCTCTCAAACCTTCACAAAGAATAATCGCGTCCCGTCCCGTAGACACAATGTGCTATTGATTTGCAGAAAATATCTACTACCTGCAGATAGAATTTCCAGGGAGCATCTAGTGGCTTAGAAAGCAGACAAAGTTTGCAAATGTTTGCCTCATGTATTTCATTATTGCTCAAATGAAGCTCATGTGAAATACGCCACTCTTTTTTTTTGCCCTAGGCTGCAACATGTGAGTATTCTCTGCTCTGAGCCAAGACTATTGCCAAACCCATTGTAAAGCAAGCCTCCCTTTTTGCAGGTATACATCTCTAGGCATTTGAAAGTGACATCGCTGTAATGAAAATCCCTTGGTTTGTGTGGCTGTGTATGTGTGCAGCAGTGGTGTTCTGAAAGAGTCTGGCAGGGTCACCTCTCCCCCCTGGTATCTGTTTCTGTGCCTGGACCTGGGTCACGCTCTGCATCCCCGGAGCGCCGATCTGCAGAGACAGCATCCGCTTAAATTTACACACACACACACAGAGCACACATTTTACCACTCCAAATGAGTTCCCATAGGACTGCGTGTCTCCTGTCAGGACCTGCTGTTGCTTAGAGACTGGTCCTGGGGCAAAGCAGTCACATTCACTCACTCCCCTGGCCTCGTTACACTTTTACTAAGAATGATGGCGCTCTGCTGGGTATTGTCCATGAGCTTACGTGAGTGTGTGCTCTATGCTACACATTTTTAAAACTAAATAAGATTCTCTGCATTGAACACAATCATCATGCTTTTTCCATGTTTCTAGAAACGGTAGTTAAATTTAAATGGCTGCATTATTTTTCCATACTCTGAATGTGCGTACAAAACCACAATCTCATCATCCAGCCCCTTTTTCCGAGTTCAGTAATTCCACACAAGAAGGTTATTTTACAGAGCTAAATCTGCCGGCAGTTTTGAACAGCTCTACATTTTTGTTTAGTTTTGTTTTTTCAAATCACATTTAACTGTCTTTGTGTGCCTACAGGAGTGCAAGCATCTCACAACAGCAAGAGGAAGAAAAATGGGAGATTTCTTTTGTCTCTTGTGCTGCTAAACTGTGTATCCAAATGTGTTAATTTGACAAATGAAGGACAAAAAGGCTTTGGCAAAGCTGAGGTAGCCACTGACAGATCACAGATTTGACTGGGAATTTCACAGCAGCCTGATGCTGAAATGCTTAAGTCTAACGACTTAGCGGTACAGCACAGGCCAGTACGGTTTGGTACACTAGTTTGTCCATTTCAATTATAAAAGAAGCCCATACGACTGACCTGTAATGCATACTTCCTGGCCCCCCTTCAGTTGTAGGTCCATGGGTCAGTGATTAGGGCTGCTTCTGTAAGCTTTCAGCTGCTGGTCAAGATTTGTCCAATGAGGCTATTTCATAAACCGGTCCCTCCAGTTTCTCACACAAAATCAGCAGATCACCACTGCCTATTCCCACTTGCAGGTGTCAGTATTTCGTACTTTTGCAATACTGCTGCCTTAGCCTCACTGGATGTAAAGTTTCATGCTGTGTTCCAGTTACCTCAGAGGTCGGTTTGAGGTTACATCTCAATGTTGTTATGCAATGTTTGGTTTATTGTTACTAAAACTGATATTATCATTACTATTAAAACCTCATTTTAATAAAATAAAAATATACCACGGTTTCCCTCTAGGGAAACCGTGGTATATTTTTAGCATATCATAGAAGAACTTCATACCAGAAAATGACTCGTCGCTTCACTTCAGTATTTCTGCATTTTTTATTTAGCCTTGATTTATCCAGGTAAACACTTTGAGAGCCACTTCTCAGTTACAAACATGACCACAAGGCTGCTGAGATAAATTGACTCATTAGACGCAGCTGTATGAAAACATTCCCTTTTTCTGCTCCACAGAAATTTCCATCCTTCAAGCACTCGCATTATCTGCTTTTGTCTCCTTGCAGCTGTACAATAAGCTGCGATGCGACGACCAGCCGATGCTGGAGCATGCAGAACAGCTGCTGGGTGAACTGGGAGGAGAAATCGAGGAAGAAGATGAAGACCCAGCCGAGGATGACGACTACGAACCTTGCAGTGACGATGAAGAGGAAGCCGAGGCCCCCATGGAGCACTGACTGCACCCATCATGTTTTCCTTGAGTTTTTGTGCCCTCTTCAAAGTGCCTTTTTGTACTGGCTTTTCAAAGATTAAATTGATTTGCACAAACAGAGAGGTATAAAAAAATCTACTCAATCTCTTTCAGTTAAGTTGCTAAATGCTTTTGTCGAAATAAGTGCATACTTGAGTAATGCTTCCCTAATCTTATCGACAGATGCCGATGACAGAAATTAGTTTTCAGAGGTTTAATTCTCACCAGCAGCCCTTGAATGCTTTACCTTCACTGCACACCCACACAGTTTTGAATGAGCGGGAATGTACCGCACGAACATAACACAAAAACACAAAAGAAGCATGTTAATTACTCTATTCCTTTTTCCTCAGCAAAACAAGCTGCTTTTCCCTCTAAGCATTGTCAGAGAAGCCCAGTTATTAACACTTCACGCTATTTTTACATGCGCTGTGATTTTAATGCCTAGTGTTTATGTAAATGCTTGAATTTTTATGGAATTCAGTTTATGGTTCTTGCGTCTTTTTTTTTTTCATTTTTGGGGGGTTAGACTCAGTAACTTAAGACAATAGAGTGAATCTGACATGAACTCATGCAGAGTACAACTCTCGCTCACTCTGTTGCTGCTCGGGTTTTCAAAGTGACTTGCATAACCGAGAAACGAGCAACTGGCTTTTTAACACAAGACTTCACATCACGTCCTTTTAATAGTCGCAGTGTTAACGACATAAAAGCCTGGGTCTGTACATTGTGACATACAATTATTTCCTACAATGTATGAAATATGTAGTGCAGCACCAAATAAAGGCTTAGTCCTATAAATATGTTTGCCGTTTGTGGCCAAGGGCGTTTGAGAATGTCTTTGGCGCCAGCAGCTCTAAAGCAAGTATTGACTGTGTACCAATTTACTCGAGTCTGAAATGTTTTCAAATCTCTACTATAAGCTGTACAGCCACTTCTGGCTTCAAATCTAAAAGATAAATGAGAACAATTGCCTTTGCTGCACAGTTTAATTAGTATCTGTTCAAACTCAAATTTAACAAGACTAGATTAGATTTTGATACAATTCTTGTCTTAACTATTTTGTACTAATAATTCAAATCTGGTGCAAGAAAACATTTCCAAACAAGGTTTGAAGTTGTGATGTGACAAACAGAATGGAGAAACATTTCTTAGGTGCTGTGTGTATTTGGTTACTGGTGCTACAGCTTCAGAATGCCAAAAGAACCGTAGGGTAACATGAGACACTGCTCACATAAACCTGTTAAAAGGCTATGAAAGCAGATTCATAAAAGTATTAAAATGCAAACTATAAAATGTGTCAAGATTGATGAAACTGATCCACTTAAAATGTTCTTGGACATTATAGTTCAGTGCACTGATGACTCTGGCAAAAAAGTGGTTATTTAATAGTTATAGACAAATAAACCAGATTTATTTTATCACTTCTAAACAGAGTGAGAAACCAATTCAGTTTGTGATCCTTTGGAATAATAAATATTTTCTTGATTTTTTTTTTGTCTATTAAATGTTTAACTTAATTGATATACCCTAAAATACTACTAAAGATTTTTCCATGGATCTTTGAGACAGAGGTAAATGAATTACTTTTTTAATCCATTTTTTTTTAATGAAAGACAATTTAACAAAAAAAGATGCTCCTTTATATTGCTTTATTATGTATTGAGAGATAGATATCTCATTTAAGGGTATGAAAAAACGTAGAGCCTCAATATAAATGTTTTAAATGTAGACAGAAGTGATATGTTTCTTAAGTGAATGTTTTTGGAACGGATGGATCAGGTAGAAAAAATGCTTCTGCAATTGTCCATACCATACACAAGCAAAACATTTGGAAACTTTTCCTAAAAGCACTGTCTGCATCAGCAAAGCATTCATGTTTAACTCATTACCATTTCTGATATTCAGTGTGTATTATGTTGGAAGTTGTTAGAAGACACCTGGTTCTCTGACCCTTGCTGAGGGACATTTCACCAAATAGTACCGGGGTGCATAAATGTTTTAGTTTTCCTCTTGGAATAGAGAAAGTCTGCTATAAATTTAAATTAACTTGTTTTTAAAATTCTCCAAAGTTGACTAAAGAACTGCAAAAATAAATCATTAAAAGGCTCAGATATAGCAACGTGATGATGATGATGAGTGTTTGTAAATTTTTGTTTGTTTAGTTAGGTATCTATCCATGTCCCGTCTCTGTTAATAGACACAACACACCAGGAACATCCACAGCAGCGTGGTGTCTTTGAAAAATCCCAACCCTGAAAAAATATATATAAAAAGAGCGTTATCAGAGATCCTGTTGCAGATAGTGACCCTGCTGCAAGCTGAGAGGCCTGGCAGCTGTTTGATACCCTGATGTGATTCAGTTTTTTTATTATTATTATTTATTTATGGAGCATTAAATATACCCCAGGAGGTAAAAAATTGTCGATATAACGTTTTCTGTGTGTGTAGGTGTCCATGTTGTAAAAGTTTTGCAGATTTATGAGATGCTTTATTTGTGGACTGGACTTTTTTCTCCCATATCCATGTCTGCTGTGGTTAGTGTGCAAGGATGCACCTCTGCAGGCCTTGAAGAACGACTACCTGAAGCCATTCTGTCATCCACCATTTTTTTTTCTAATTAAAGCAGGCTCTAATACGTCTGTGCATTTTTGTGGTTTCGCCTGTGTGTTGTGGCATGTGTCTGGACGGCTCATCCGCAACAACGTCTGATTAATGACTCCTGTGGGGGTGAGTGAACTCAGGCGGTCAGCCATGTCTGATCATTCTAAGCTGACCCAGTATGAGAGGGGCCTCTGTGGACAAACAAAGCCTCAGGTGATCTAAAAATCCTTCCACATAATCTCACCTGTACATCAGCTTTAGAACTGCTGGGGTATTTTCACTTGCTTAGAGGTCACTAGGGAAAGACTGCACATTCTTTTCTAGGATGTTTTGCCAGCACTGGTTGGCATCTGTTTCTCCAGGGTTCTTTCCAGTTATGAAATTTGGGGTAATTTTTTTTACTCTGATAAGTAAAAGAAAATGGAATAAGAAATAATATTTGTTTTTCTAGATATGCATCGTCATGTGAACATTGTGAATTACTAAAAAATGTTTTCTGAAAATCCAGATTGTTGCATGTTCTGAAAATCTCTGAACATTTCCTGAATAGGCCTATTTCTGGAGGCAGTATGCAACAAGTGATAAATGGGATGTTTTTAAAAGGAATACGGAACATCCATGTTTACCTGTTTGTCCATCCATACATACATACATCCATCTCAAAATCAATGGATTTGCTTTTAAATGAAAAGTGTCAGAAACCTATCTTAGCCTAAAGGTTAAAATGGTTCTCAATGCCCAGAAATACCATAAACCTGTATTTGTGCATTGTAAAAAATAAAGTACCTGGCAATAACTGGATACAAAGTAAATATCTGAACCGACTAAAAGACATACATCATCTTGCAGTGCTAGCTAATTCCTTGTGTGTAGTCATACATAAACCAAATTTGTCTTTTTCAACCTCAAGGCTATGTGGAGCTATGTTTAGAGACCTCAGCAGTATGCTCATGCTCATTCTCTGGGGAAACCAAACCTTAATTAGTGTTTGTTTGTGTGTGTGTGTTCGTGTATGTGACTTTTTTTTTCCCCTCTTTGTAATCGACAGTAATAAAATGAGGGGAGGGGAAATAATCCTGGATTAACAGCTTTAAAAGGCACGTGTTTGAAAACAACAACTTGATTGGACCCTAATCATTAAAATTCCCTAATACAGCCAATGAGCATACTCAAACACACACCAGCTGAACAAAGCAACCAACAGTTGTACTTGCATCAGATAAGTGAAATTTGCTAAATGTATGTGTGTGTGTGTGTGCTGTTTATCCTGTATTAGTGTGTCTCACTGACTTAACTAGAAAGTTAAGCGAGGAGCTCCTCTGAAGGGATTAAGGAGGAAATTATCTGAATATGGAGACTTAAGGCTGAAGCCGTTTAAACGGAAACAGGAGGGAGAGCTGAGCTGAGAGGACAATAAAGGAATACGAGAGGCAGCTCTAATGTTTGTACATACTTTCATATGTTCATTTGTGGAAAAAGCCTCCTTGAAGTCACACTCATCCACTCGCGTTTGCTTCAATGCCTATAAACAATTTGTTGAACCTTTCAATGAGGCTGTTAAGGCTGCTCTGTGAATCATGGATACTGTGCCTGGTTGCAGGAGCAGTTTATGAATATTCTCAGATGTGACAAAGAGCCTGGAAAGGAGACAGAAATTTAGACAAGCGGGACAAGAGGATGCAGAGGATGAAATTGACACCCCTGACTGTGCATTGACAGGAAGCTTTGTCTCATCCATCTAGATTGATGTATTTTAGGATGTGGCCATGCATTCTAACTGAATTAATGGCATAATAGGATGGATGGTTATCTCACCCAGGAGGTTGACAGCCACAGGGGAAGCCGTGTATCAAATGATCTTTATCCTCTGCTGTGAATCATTGTCCTGCCAGAAAAACTTCCTTTAAGAATAATAGTTTTTTCTATTTTGTTTACTCTGCAGAAATACATTGTGTCCTTTAATGAAGCACATAAATGTTATCTTAATCATTGATCTCTGTTTTTTTGTCAATAAAATTATTTTATTGACAAAACTGCATTTCTCCATGTTCATACATCTTCCCAGTTTGTGTGTGAGTTTTTTTTTTCTTTTCTTTGTCTTATGTGTGCACACACCGTAATCTTGGCTGGAAACATCTGTCTTTCAGAGATAACACAAGCCAGGGAATTAGCCATGCTGTCTTACAACCAAGCATCACATCTCACTATTACAGCCTCCTTAATTCTCCTCTGTTACACCTCTGTGTTTGTGCAGATGAGTGGAAGCAATGTGCTGACAGTGTTGGGTCCTTGGGGATAGGTCCATGCCAAGTTTAAGAATAATACCATACCAAGCATGCTACATCTAATCTGTAAATGCAATGTGGACACTCCACTCACTAGTCGGTTTATTAGGTTCACATGCGAACACCTGGACTGGACTCTGAGTTTTGGCCACAGAACCTTGATTTAGATTCTACAAGGCGCAGGAAACATTCCTCACATTTTGATCAATATTGACATGATAGCATCATGCATTTGCTGCACATTTCTCAACTGCACATCTGTGATACAAATATGTCATTATGCCAAATCCTAAAGGTGCTTTACTGAATGGAGATCTGGAGATTGCGGAGACCATTATAGCACAGTCAGCTCATTCTTGTGTTGAAGAAAACAGTTTGAGATGAGTGCAGCTTTGTGACATGGTGAATTATCCTGCTGGAAGTAGAGAACCATGCAGTTATAATTCTATGGACATGATAAGAAACAATAGTAAGGAAGGCTGCAGTGCTTAAATAATGCTCAGTTGTTACTGAAGTTAGCATTAAACATTCCTGTCTTGCAATAAGGGGTTGTGATAGACTTTTTTTCAGTTTTGGGGTTTGCCCCCAAGGCTTGGTGAAAACAATTGATTTTCTGTGACGTATAAAGACATTTTCGACAAACTCTGTCACATTGGGGCTTTGTTAAAGATCCAAGTATAGAGATGTGGCAACAGAGTTCTTTCAGCTAGAAAGACAAGGTGAATTTATGGAGGATCCCAGAAAAAAGTAGATTCTTGAACACACCCAGAGTGAAAGAAGAATCCAGCAAAGACAAAAAACTGAATTACTGAGGCATGGATGGAAAATAACAAAGGAACTAGATTAACTAATCATAAAAGATGTGGAGACGGTATGGTAGAGGGAAAGCAGGAAAATAGGGAGAGGGAAACAACATGACTAAAAAAGAAACTACATACAAGGGATACAGACTTGGTATCCCTTAGTACACAAATATTCACAGATTTGAATATGTGTGTATTCAAATTTATGAATTCACACATTCATAAATTAGTTTTTTTGTTTGTTTTCTTTTCAAACATTATGAGATATGTGTGTATTCTCACACAAATCTATGAGAATACATGAGAACAAAGAACAGAACAAAGAAACCTAACGAAAAGGATTTAATCTATATGGCAACAGGTTTCTAACACTTCTGAACACAGAGAAATTATTGTAATAGGCCAAGAGCTATTGAATATAAATGAATAAGACCAAGTTTAAATCAAAAAAGACAACCAAACACTGACCACCAAAGTACCACAGCATTCGTTACTTTGAGAATAATGAATATTTTCGTTATCATTGGAACAAAATTCAGATATGGTGTGTCTGTGTTACGCCAGTCAGAAAGAAAAAATAATACCCATACTATAGACACTTTCACCTCCAAACTTTGCTTCCATGTGCTCAGTCTGTCATGAAAACGGGGAAAAACAATTGAACATGGACATAGTTGGACATGTTTGCTATGAAGTAATTTGTGTGGAGTTTTAACCTTACTTGAGTTGAGCAGCAGGTCACAAATACTCTGCTGACAAAATGACAAAATATGTCCACAAACATCTTGGAGCTGGAGGTTTTAAAGGTTGTTGAGCCAACATTGTATCAAACATTTAAGAAAGGGATATTATTAAACTCAATTTGTGTGTATAGACAAGTGTCTCAACTTTGGCAACATAACCGCTTTCTGCTGTAGAGAAAAGTCTTGCAGAATCATGTTTTGGCTCAGTGGCAGAGCCGAGTAAACAGCGATTGGATAAAAAATGAGGTGGTGTTCTGTTGGATAAGGGTATAATTCAGAGCTTTTTCTGGCTCTGAATTATGCATAGTGATGCATTGTTTTGAAGTAAATGCTCTAACCAGTCAGCATCCAATTATCGCTCCACATATCGCACCTGCAGGCAGAGCAATGTCTCTTGACACATCAGTGGTGGCAGATTACTCTTTGAACTGTACTTTTAGGGGAAGTTCAAAAGCTCAGGAAGAGTTAACAAGGTGATGCATGAAAAAGAAATCATGGGATATGCAGAAAGCATCTCAAAATAACGACCCAACTAAGAGGTCACAGACTGTTTAGGTAATGGAGACCAGAATTTCAGCTTTAACCCTGTCATTCGGGTTCTTTTGAACTTTTATTCTCATTTATTGGTGCAGCTGCAGACATTCATTAAAACGGGGATACATTTAAATTGAAAAGCGTGTTTTCTGTGCATCAAAACTAAATGAAACTTTTAATGAATGCCACTGTGGGAGAAAAATTGCTTTTTTTGAAAAGTGATAATGTTGTATATGCTTTGCAAGACCATACAGTAAAAACAGCATTCAAACAGTTTTGAATGAGTTGGATTGAAGGGATGATGGTTCCTTTTCTTTTGCACAGCCAAAGAACACAGTGGGAGTCCTGCTGACGTGGCCTAAGAGGGTCAGATTCAAACCATGGAAAATAAAGAGAGGAAGTAACTTAGAGATCTTACACAACCTCAAATACAGTACCTACCATAGTAATTGACCTCTATAAAACTTTTGTCATACAAAAACCATAAAAAAATTTGCCTTTGAGATTCATAGGGGACTCAGCAAGCATGCTATATATATGGGGTCTGCTTAAATGTGAATATTTTGCCCTAAATGTAAACACTGGACTTCTCCATGAAGTTGCCATCACAATGGTGAAACATTGTCGTGGCACTGAAACAACTATCAGCTACCTCACATGACTTTCATG